TTATTTATATTTATTGCATATTTATTAATGCATGCATTCTTACTTTATTCTGCACTATAAGTTATAACCTTCCATACTTTAGAGATAGCAGTTTGATTTTTTTACATAGCAACAATTTATTTTTCCTAGATATCAACAGAAGTGAGGTCTGCAGCAAAGGTGAAAGGAAAGGTGTTAAAGAGATGATGATAACGATAGAAAGGTGTTGAACTGAAGGTACAGAAATAAATGATAATAAAGGTGCTTATAAATGTGATTGAATTCCCAAATAATTGATAAATAAACACCCTAAAGTTGACAATGCCTGAGTATGTCATTGTTCTTTAAAAATTGTTTTTAAAAATGCGCTTTTTTCAATTATCCAGGTAGTGAAATCAAAGAATTTCCACCTTATCTTAATCACCTGTAGTCACTGTAAGGACTAGTGTGTGTGGCAGCTGCAGAGTCAGCATATTCCCTGCAATTATAATAACTACGGTGGCCCTAAGGTGCAAATAAACAACATTCGAAAAAAACGGAATTACATTTAGCCAAAGCGAAAGGGGTTTTTTTTGTTTTTTTTAGTAACAGCATAAAACCGAACAACATACAGTACACACACAACAGAGGTACAGTTGGCAGGCTATCCTTTTTAACTATCCCTGTTGTGTGTTTGTACTGTATATTGTTCTGTTGTTCGGTTTTATGCTGTTAATAAAAATAAAAAATAAAAAAAACTTGTTTGGCTTAATGTAATTCCATTTTTTCTTATGTGATTGTTTTTTCAATGTAGTTTTGTTTTTTCAAATGTTGTGATTTTGTTGTGTTTTTTCAAATGTAATTCCGGGTTGTTGTTTTTTTTTCAAATGTTGTTCATTTACACCTTAGGGCCACCGTAAATAACTCATCAATATCAACACCGAATTTTTATGTTTTTATCTTCGTCTGAATTAGTTTTAACCTGTCGTGCAGAGTTCCTAGCTGCTGTAGTGGCGGATTATAAACGTTCTCAAAGGCCGGAGGCGTTAAAAATACAGTTCGGCAAGCTAGCTGACAATAAAAGGATGCCTGCAAGTTTTTTTTTTGTTGTTGTTGCGCTTCACAGCAGCAGCGGAGGAACGATGCAAAACCAGCGCGAGTTGATCTTCCGCTGCTCGATTCTGACGTTAAACGGTTTGTCCGTCTGCTCCGTTTTACAGCGAGTTAATGTTCGATGAAACTTTCAGACCAGAATCTGAGCCCGTGTTTGATGAATGGTAACACTTGACCGGTGTTGAGTTTTGTCTCCCGCCTGTCGAGATCCGATTCCCCTCCAGCTTGGTTCCATTTTCCTCTTAACTTCTAGTGTTTTAAGCAACGGTATTATGAGTAAAATGCCTCTAGTTGCTGTTTTGTCTGTTGCAACAGGAAACACCCTGAATACTTAGGTGATGAAACCAAACTTCACAACACCTGCGTGTGCTAATGTGCCTGTTTTAGTCACATTTGATTGGGTAGATAATGTTAACAGTAATTTTATTGGTGCTAAATCACATATGCCTACCTGGTATCACTTCCCAATCCCATAAATGCACTTTATTGTGTAATAAAAAGTTCAGTTTATACTTCATAATAGCGAAACATCTTCATCAGCTTATTCACTATGCTTACATGTAAATGAATAACATTTAAATCTGACCAGTTCATAAATAAAATAAGGATTTTGCTCCAGTTTGCTGCAGTTTTACCAATAACATCCTCACAACATATGCTGAGTGTTCAGTCTTTTTTTTATTTTGAAAGGCATAACATAATAAGAGCTTGATTTAGTTTATTTTTCAGAAGGGTGTTGTAGTTTTAAATATATGTTTTGTATTTTAATGTGCACGTATTTGCATTTTAATTTAGTATACAGGCTAAAAAAAATGTCAAAGTTGACTTTTAAAGATCAAATGAACTCAAATAAAATGGTTGTTTAATTTTTAGAAGAAAATTGGTGGGTTAGATGAATGGATCAGCCGCACTAGTGTCGGATTGTTAAGATTAGACGGAAGGAGTTATCTGATCTGTGCACCAGGAAATCAAACTAGTGCACCTCTAAATGCAAAATTTGAACTCTTAGTCAACAAAAAGCATGTACTTTGTGACTTGAGTTACAGTCTGCAGCCGAAGAACATACATTAAAAGACAAGGAAAGTGGTATGTTCCAGACTGCAGAACCATCTTCAGGTTAAAAGCTACTCATTGTCATAAAGACTTGTCCAACCAATAAATCCTAAAGTAAAATGTCAAGTCTGCTTCTTTTTTCCTCATATTAACAGTTAATGCGTCTTAAAACTGAAAATATGTAAGAAAAACTAGCTAATGTTAATGAGTTTACCTAAGGAAGTGAACAAAGTGGCTGAAAAAATGTAAACAACGACAACGTCCATGTAAGAGCTGTTTGGAATTAAGAAGTTCATACGTTTGTACGCTCAAATTCGTTGAGTAGAACATACAGAAAAGTGCTTTGTTTACGTTGAGTGCGTACCTGCATTTCAGAAATGTGCGCCAATATATCTGGACAATTACCGGAGTAAACACTTTAGTCTTTAGATCCTCCTGAACATAGGAGGATCTGCGTAGGAGGTGGTCTCCAGCTACAAGTCCTTGAGCGTGCACCTGAACAACAACACCACCAGCTCATCAGAGACTCTACTTCCTCAGGCGGCTGAGGCGAGCTGGTCTGGGAAGCTCAGTCCTCACCTCCTTCTACAGGTGTGCAGTGGAGAGCATCCTGTGCTCCAGCATCAACGTGTGGCATGGAGACTGCACAGCTGCAGAAAGAAAAGCTTTGCAGAGAGTGGTGAAGGCTGCACAGAAGATGTTGGAGTCAGCCTCCCCACCATCACAGACATCTACACCTCCAGATACAAGAAGAGGGCCACCTGCATCATGAAGGACCCCACTCACCCAGCACATATGCTTTTTGCCCCGCTCCCCTCAGGAAGGAGGTTGTGGAGCATTAACCACTAGACTGAGGAACGGCTTCTACGCTGAGGCTGACTCATAAAACCCTAACCAGACAAATCACTGTAATGCCACTTTATTGTGGCGATGTCACATTATCCGTGCTGCTGATTATCCATGCTGCTGATCTCTTGCCTTTAAGCTGCTGTATTCATACCCATCTGCTCACAATCATGTTCAGGTTGCTGTTTAATACACTATTATATTACGTTATTATTGTTTAGTTTAAATCTTAGATCCTTGTATACCGTTTCTTTTTTTAATACTTTATAATTTTGCTAATTTTAGGTGTAACTGGGACCCTGTGTACACAATTTTGTTCCACCACATGTGATGCAAATGACAATAAAGAACCTGGATATAACCTTTTATACGTTTGGTTTCATAGATTTCAAGCTCAGACCACATAATGCAACATGCTGACTGTGGTCCTGCTGGTCCAAACCAACACATACCCAGTCCTCGTAGTGCCTGGTTCCGTTCTGCAGCAGGTCCTCCAGCTGGATGGTGCAGTTGGCCACAAAGTCATCGTAGCCAATGGGGGCGTCGTGGAAAACCGACAGCTCCAGGCTCCTTCCCTCGCGGACCTCAGTGCAGAACTCCTGGTGCCAAGCCGGACTGTTGGTCTTGGTTCTGGTGGCGGTCTGGCCTAATCGAGTCTGGTCCAAGTTCAAGGCCAGGTAGGGGTCCAGCAGGAAGGAGCCGCTCTTCCCCACGGCGTGACGCAGGGCCCACGGGGTGGGCTTCAGGTCCACAGCCTCACACACTCGCACCTTCAACACGCCGTTGAACACGGGCATGGCTGCTGGGAGGTGTGCGCGTGCGTTAATAATACTGTGCGCGCGTGTTCCTGCTCCCGTACACGGAGTGTTTCCTTCCAGTGAGCGGGGTCACAGCACAAAGCTGCTACATCCCATAACGCCGCTCCAGACTCCGTCTAAAACAGCCATATCAGAACATCGCGTCATCCGCACACACTCACACGCACGCACACGCGCAGCGGGGCACTAACAGTGCGGCTAATGGACCTCCGACAGGCTGAAAGGCGCAGTGGAAACGCAGGCTCACACCCTTCTTCTGGGGCTGTGGATGACTCTCCCACCCCAGGAGCGGTTGTTTGTTTACGGTCGGTTCCGAACTGAGAAAAAAAACTATTTTTTTGACGGAAATGGGCCGAAATATGAGAAGAACCGAGGAGTGGCGGGCTCACGCGCACGTTAAGTCCCCGGGGCTTGAGTGTCTCCGCCGGGTCAGGGTGGGAGAGAGCCCGAGCAGCCGCGCCTAGCCATCCGGGATTGGTGCTCCGCTCCCAGCCCGCCTCGGTTCGGCTCGGCTCCTTTCCGGGCTAATCTCCCCTCGTTTCGACCTCGTGACTCTACACTCCCGGAAAAGCAGAAAAACCTGCCTCTGCGGTCTTTTTCTGGCTCACGAGCACCCCAAACACATCACAGAGCTCCACCGCTGCCGTTTTTTTTTTTTTTTCCCTCCTCCTTTCGGTCCTTGCGCGCGCCCCTCGCTTCCCGTCCCCTCGCGCTCCCAATCCGTCAGTGAGCGCGAGCTGCAGGAAATGCGCAAAACGCGTCACACACACGCGCTGCCGGCCTCTCGCTGATCTGTGTGTGTAGAGAACGGAATTCACCCGCAGGCGGTGTGTGTGCGTTTGTGTGTGTGTGTTTATGTGCGCGCGCGCACTGCCAGACAGCCAATAGAGCCAATCAATCAGTCAGGTTTTAAATGCGTGGTAACAGACAGCCTCAACACGCACGACAAAACAAACCTACCCAATCTGTAAAAGTTGAGACGTTGCGTTCAATGTCTAGTTTCATCAACCCACATTTAATTCACGGTGGAACAAAGTAAACGTGTCAAATGTTAAGTCTGTAAACATAGCAGCTGCTGGAGGACCCTGCTGCTTTCCTCTGATGTAAGGTTCAAGCTGTTCTGCTCCATTGTGTTGTTCTAAAACCTGTTTACTTTTCAGCATTAACGTGGCCTTTCCAGATGTGCAAGCTGCCCATACCGGAGACACGAATGCACCCCCATACCATGTGAGAGGCAAGGTTTTGACCTAAACACTGATAGTTTCCAAAAATAATTTCAAATTTTGATTCGTCTGACCACAGAATAGTTCTCTAATTTACAAGAGTCCATTTTTAAGAAGACGGTGCTTTTCTACATGGTGCTCACTTAAAGCTTCTTCTTTGCAAGATGGCCAATCTAGTGATGCCCAGAAAAGAACCGGACCTGGTTTTAATGCAGTGATTACATGCATTATATTTTGCTTACAGAGATTTAACCAGATTATTTTCTTGTTTTTTTCATGATGATGTGAACTTAATGGAATATGAAGTTTGTCCATTTTGTACATTGAGTAAAGTTCTGAAATTTACCACTATTTATTGTTGTTGTTTTCAGACTGGTGCACCTCAGCCCATTTTTATTTCTGAGGAATCTAGCCTCTCTTTATACCCTATCATCTGTCTGTCTGTTTATATGCCACTTTCTTCCATCAGCTCTTCTTTATGATGTTTTTTTTTAAGCAGATGTATGTTGTTTTTTTTCTTTATCGTGACTTCCTGTAGAGGTTTTGCTCCTTTGTGCTGCTTTATTTGTTTAGTTTTATTTATGTAAAGCAGGAAATGTTTTCCGTGCATCAGGTCTGTACTGCCTCACCAGTTTGGTGCTGAATGTGGCATGAAATATTTAGGCTAACACGTCCTCTGATGGTGATGTTTTGTGGATGTGCTGCTCTAAAACCTCTGTTTCAAAATGAAACAACCAGGTGTTTAGCCTATTTGCATGATGCTCTTTCACATGCCACTGTCATGTTAATCTGAATGATCTTTCGCCAGACTGAGTTTGATATGGATTAAGTCTATTTCCCATCCAAATCTTGCTGGGGGTCACCTTAGTGTCAGACCTATATGCCCACATCTTAACCACAAAATGTTTAGAGGGGTACAAAGGAAATCAATCATTGTTAGACTCATCAACATAGCGATCATGTAATGAAAGTACTCCATTGAAGCTCAAGGCATTAAAAGCTGAATCAGATGAGGGGGTAAACATTAGGGATACACTGATGTACTTTTTTTTTTACTTCCCATCCGATCCCCAAATCTGGATATCGGCCGATACTGATATCTTTCCCATATCATCATGATTATTGATTTTATATGAGGCTGTAATAATCTCCTGTCTACAGGCAAGTGCAGTTTGTACAAATATATGTATGTCCAAAAAGGTAAGTACGTTTTTTTTTATGTTGGATAAGTTTCAAAGTTAGAATTAAATCCTGTTAACACAAAACATGTTTTGTTTTTTTTATTCCTAGCTTAGTGGATATTAAAATGATTAATGTAAGTGATTGTTTAAAGTTATTTTATATTATTTTTAGATAAGGGGCGTATAAGAATTTCTTTCTTCTTTCTGCACTCTTTTCATTCAATGTTTTTTTTTTTCTTTTTAGTGGTTTTATTTTTGTTTCTTTTAAATGAATTTAAAAAAAATGTAATTACTTTAAACATCTGCTAAGTTCATGGCATGGTTTTGAACGAGTTTGACATGACTGTCGACGAGGAAGAGGGCCGACACCGGAGGAGGGAGCGTGCCAAAGAGACCATCTTATAAATGATCTGATTATTAAAATCCTTGTATGATAGTATTTTATTTAACCTTTATTTTACCAGGTAACGTCCCGCTGAGATTAAGAACACATTTGTTGTTACATATAAATAGTCAGTTAGTGAAAATGAATGAATGGGAAATGATGACATGCAATTTCAGGCATGTGAAGCGTGTAGTCAAAGTCAAAAGTTTTTGTCATTCGCACCACATGTGGTACATGTGGTGGAACGACATTGTGTACACAGGGTCCCAGTTACATTTAAAAAAAAAAAGAAGAAATTGTAAAGCAAAACAGTAATAGAGCTAAGACATGACTAAGAAATATGCTAAACTAAGAATACAACTAAGCACTAATAGTACAAAACAATACGTTGAACAGCACGAGCATGAGTCTGTGTGAGCAGATGAGGATGAATGAACACAGCAAAATAAATCAGCAGCATGAGATCAGCAACATATAGCCAGAGGGTGGATACAGTTTAGTCCATTTCAAAAACTAAACGGAGTTTGGAAAAATGTAAAAGATGATAAAGGCCAGCGGCCAACATGACAGTTATAAACAGGAAGCACTACATGTTGGTTTGTACGAAGGTAAATCCTCCATTACTTGTCATAATTACATTAATTAATGGTTAAATTAAAGGTGCTAGTTGTGTTTTGTGTGTTTTATGTGTTGCAACTTCTGGTTGTACAAGTTAAGTCTTTGTTTATGATCAGTTAACGCTGAACTGATTTTGTACAAAGTGTTTAATAGTTTGTGTCATGTAAAACTTATGCTCTTACATACTGAATTTCACTGAGTTCTTACCCTGTGTCACTCTGCGGCATGAAAACATCCACTGCAGTAACTGTTTTAAGTTATTAGTAGATTAGATTTTTTTTTATTTTATTTTATTTGCCTGTCTTCTTTGCCTTAATGTTGGCTGATAAGGCAGAAATGCCTCACTAAACACTGTGAGCGTTACCACCTCCACCATCACAGCTATCTTTGTTTGTTTGTCTGAGTTTAGCTCACCCTGTGTTACATTTGCTCACGGGTGGAGCGATCTTACTGTTCACACAAAATATTTGATAATGTTCTTATAGAAACAATTCCTGACTGTTGTTCATACTGTGTTAATGTTACATGTTTGTCTCTTGACCCTACAACTAGGTAAGATTACAGTAGACCTAGTCCATTACCGGAGTTTTAATTAGGTATTTTACTACTACTAATAAACACAATTGATGATGTTCATATTGCTTTATGCTAGGCCATTAGTAAGAAGTTGTGATTATTATTATCATTTCATGTTGGCTAGTGATTTTTTTCCCATAAAAGTTAACTTAGGATACATTGTTTCTTAGGTTGTGACTAGGATGCTGAGAGATATGGAGCATGCTCTATTCACACAAGGAGAGCTGTTGGTCAGGATACTTCTTGTTATGACATTAACTCTAAAATAGTTGTTTCAATTCAATTTAACCTTTATTTCTACAGGTTGTCTCATTGAACCTTAAGGACTAATTTACAAGAGACCTGTTTAAAACAAAGAACACAAATGACAACAGTAGACAATCATAAAAAGCATGTACAACTCACTCGTTCGTTCAACCTTTATTTTTACACGTTAATCCCACTGAACCTCGTGGACTCGAAATAAGTACAGTCCAAAAATATAAAAACTCAACAAAAAAAAAAAAAGTCAAGACTTAAAAATAAAAAGTAAATGGAACAATTGATATAAAAAAACAGCTACATTATAAAGCGATATAAAATACTAAAAACAGGAACGTCTGCTTTGATTTTTGCAAATGAACTTAGCAGATGTTTAAAGTCCCTATAGGGAGGTCAAGGTCGAGAGCTCATTGAATCAAGTGTTACTTGTGTAGGTAAAACTAGATGTTAAACAACCTGTTAAAATACACCAGAATGCAGGAAATGGCATCTAGTTTATTCAAAATTTTCTGGGGGAGGACCCCCAGACACCCCCACCAGTGTGCCTCCACACGTTACAAATGCTTCTGACACCAATGGCCACCATGTTGCTAAACAAGTATGGTGTTCAAAGTGCACTCAGTTTTACTCAGTCTTGGTGGTTTTCTAATCGGGGGGTGGTGGTCTGGGATGGTATCAAATTCCCCACCTGAACAAGTAGTGGAGAAACCATTTAGTATTACTACAAATCCTTTGGTGTCTTTACTTCCATCGGGGCAAATATACCGGAACACAACAGTTCCACTATAGTTCAGAGTTATCCGTCTGTAGCAAAAAACGGAGGAGTCTGGGTCACATTTTTAAATCAGCTCTTGTTAAATAAAAGAAGCAAATACTCTTAAAGTATGTTTAGTTGACTTTAAAACGTAAATATAATAGCAGCAGTATGGTTTTTACAAATGTTATTTTCCACTGCTGACAGAAATCAGTTGTGACTGCGTATGATAAATAAACTAAATAGAACAATAATAGTCTGAAAA